AAGTAAAGTTTCTCTAACGAGCCTTCACTTGATTTTGTTTCGGGCTCGTCTTATTCAAAGTTCGGCTTCGGTCGCTGCGGCCGCTGAATCCAATGAGGGTTCAATAAGCAGCGTGTAGGGTCCTTCCTCGAACTGGCTGAAAATGCTAATCAACAGCTTAAAATTTAATTTGGGCCTTGGCCATGTAAATAAACAAAATCAGCCCGAGTCACACGCAGATTGGGCAAGTGCAAGAAAGTCAACTCAAGCTGGGGCCAACGAGCACGAGCGAACAGAGTTTTGTGTACTTAGGAGTGCGCTGGTCGCTTGGTCATTTTTGACATTGACATTGTCCCGAAATTCAATTCCGAGCATTTGGTTAACTTTGTTAAAAAGTCCAAAATTAAAATCAGGCTGAAAGTCAGAAGTGTCGACCACATTGTGGCCTTTTGCCGGCTTAACTAAGTTTCCGTTGCGTATACGCAGCGTGGACCGTCAAATGCAAAGAGAAGCAGGTAGGCATAAGCTGTTGCTGCAGCTGCTGCTGCTTCTGCTGGTGCTGCCAGACAAATGCTAAGCCTCAAAGTAATGCTGATGAGCTGAGAAACTTCGTTGTGAAGAATGATTTCATTTCGACAGGCGACGGATATTTTGACTCCGGGCTTCGGAATGGCCCTTCTGGTGTGGGCGGGCTACTCTGTAAAGCGTATACAAAATCGATAATAGCATAAATAATGCATACACGACGCCGGTAGCAAGGCTCGCATAACGTAAAAAAATACACAGAAAAACGCGAGCGTAGAGACAATAGCATAGGCCCATGGGTGAGCGAAAGGACAAAGGAAAACACAGGGCTCATCTACCATGCTCACATCTGACTGAAACAACACTGATCCCAAAAAAAAAAGAAGCATACATATGTGTATATGTGAATGTGAATGGAATATGTGTGTTTGCTGGGCAAAAAGAGAGAGAGAGAGAGAGAGAGAGAGAGAGAGAGAGAGCAGGAAAATACGGTCGGCGGACATTTAACCAGCACACAATAGAATAGCTCAATGGCTTCTAAAGTTTGAAACTAAAGCAACGCCGGACCACAATGCGACGAGTGCAAAGCAAACACAGCTCGGATGAAGGATGCTGATGTCAGAAGGCCTGCGAGGGCTGCCTCAGCAGTAATGGCTGTCGCGCTGGCACCTTGACAGCGTCAAAGGCCGCGCGCCTCCTCGACTGAGAGCAAATTTCTTGAACTCTATATAAATATTTCATCGTTGAGTTTTTATTTGCATATAAATTGAACTACAGACTGGGAAGATAAATGCGCACGGATGGCAAATGTTTTTGATCTACTCTCAGCTGAAGTTGGGGGAATTATTTAGTTCAGCTTGAAATAGAAATTGTTATTCAATTGACCTGAAGTTACAGTAAAAGTTTCCACGTCAAGGCCATAATTATATTAAATTAAATTTACATTTTATGTTCCATGTAAGAGCGGTCTAAGTTGAATTTATTTAAATAACTGAAAAAAGTTATATGAAATTAATTAATTATATAAATTATTTATATTTATTTATATAAAATTAACACTTTCGTATACCGAAAATTAATTATAAACATAATAAAAAATTAAAAATAAAAATAAAAAAATTAATTTGATTTTCAATTTTTATAATATAAATTGCAAATTAAAGTGATAATTTGCGTTTCATATACAAATTTAATTTAAAAAAATTATAAATAAATTTTTAATACAAAATTGCAATATATCTACATATATCTAATTTGCCCTTCTTCTTTTTTTTCGGAATTTGCTTAAATGAATCTTAAGTTTATCGCTTGAATTGCAATTATAAACAATGCATATGCCTTTCAAATCCATCATATATAGATATCTATATTTACGTATATGAAGTTAAAGGGTATCGCCTAGTCGAGCATATCCAAAGCACACTGAATCCATTCGCGTTGCTTTCGATTGTTTCAACAAAGCAGGTAAATTTCTATTTGTTTTAATTGTGTGCTTAGGGAACTTGTGTAATGGGAGCATAAATTATTTATTATTTATTTACTGTGAATGACTTGAACTCCAGCTAATGATATAGTCAATGCAAATGGCTGAGCCGGAAGCGGAAGTCATTATAATGAGAGCCGCCGAATGATTGTTTGCGTTATTCGCGTAACTTTAGCTCTGCTCAAATATGTCAGATGCGCGGAATATTCATTTGCATATCTGCTATTGCTTCGTCCGTCTCTTCGTCTGTTTGTGTGTCTGTCAGATTTACACTGAAGTGTGTAAATAAACATTTATACAGCCAAGTTATTTGAGCTATTTATTGGTCAATAAAACGAGAGCAGCAAAAGGCGTTTCCATTCGCACTTGAGTGCTCAATGAAAATGCAAAACTGTTTCGAATGCTTTTCCGGATTTGTAATTATTGTGAAGTGCAGCCAAGAGAGCAAACGATTTTTGGCAATTAAAATCGATTTCATGTAGCACTTGTGGCTTTGATTTCCATTCTGCGTACTCTGGTATTGTGCATTGATAACGAGACTCATGCGCATTGTGCATGAGAGCCCTAATTAAAGCATTTAATACAGGGAATTGTGTAGATATTCTCAAAAATATTTTGATAGATATGCTCAGATACCAATTTAATTGCCAGAAGATGGAAACAGCATTTGATTGATGAAAATCCTGTCTGAATATATGAAATTGGATTAGAATCAAACTCTGGAATTTCTGATTGCTGTGCTTGGACAAGCAATCGATGTTTGTGGGAAATATGATGAATGATTTGTATATGCCAATTAATATTCAGAGCTAATTCATATGTCAGCTTCTGATTCATTTCAAATTCATGATCTTAAATAAAGTTTATTATATTAAGTAAAGCATGCTCGAGTTTTTTCAGTGATATTTTGTGCAATAAATTAATGAAGCACTGCTTTAAAAACTCTTTCTCTGGGCCTGTTCAGACTGGGCCAAGCATGACAAGTTCATTAATTTCATTTTCAATCTAAGCTATGGAATTGGCGTTGGCATCCTCAACGATTTCCAGCAGCATCGCATCATTATGCTGGCAATGAATCTGATAAGCTTACAGCTAAATCCAAAACGGAGACGCCAATCAAGCAAAACCCACCCCCAGTCCCCAGCCCCCGCTAACACCCACTGCAGACACCCACACAGCGACAGCCATGAGAATAGCAACCAAAAATGCCTAAAGGCATTTATTCTATTTATCATTTATCCAGCCATTTATCGAGAGACATCCGAGACGCTGCCTGAAGTATCGCCGGAATAAATAATGCCATTTACACTGGAAACAATTCAGTGCAAATATTTGCTCGCTTCAAGCATTAGCTGGCATTAGCTCAATGAAAATAACTGGATTTCTATAATTTCTAAACTGTACACAGTATAAGGTATTTTCCTATCGGTTAACGGCGCACAATGAACTTTGTGATTGTCGCAACTTTGCAGCTTGACAAATGCAACATTGACAGTTCTAACTAGCTAAATCCAAACTGTATCTCACAGATACAAACTTTTTCGAGCACAGCTCCAAAAGTTTCAATTCGTACATGGAAATTTCTATAAAATATGTTTGCGTGTATGTGGGTGTGTGGGGGGTGTGTGGGTGTGTTTATTTAGGTGCGTGCTTGACTATTCTGTTGACGATGCAGCTCTGCAATTTATGCAAAAAGTTTGCATTGCTTGGGCACAGACATTCGGTGAATGCCAAATAGTGATGTGTGCGTGTGTGTGTGTGTGAATATGTGTGTAGTTCCTGAGCTTATGGTAAATTTGATTCTAAAAGCCAGACAAATAAACCCAGTTTATTGAAAGGTAGTTGCAATTCACCCCCAATGTCCTATGCCAACAAAATCGATTTCCCCCAGCGCTCAGTTCAGAAAGCTCTATTAAAAAAGCAAAAAAAATTATTATAAAGGAAAAAAAACATCAGCAGCAGAGTAAAAGCAAATGTCAGGAGGCTGAGGCGACTCGCCCGACTGTGAGTGCTAAGCGAGGTGCAGAAGTGTAGCAGTGAGTGCTCTCCATAGAGAGTCCCATGGCAAATGCTATGTTCAGGCGCAGCGAGCAGAGCCTACAGCGAAGGCCAGAGGGTGGGTCCACTGAACCTGCACAGTGGTGCCAAATCGAGACTAGGCAAGAGACATAACAATCATGCTTGATAGGGAGTTACAGCTAAACGAGAGAGTTGGATATTTTTAAATAGATTTTGGAGCTGAAGATAAATTGATTTATTTTTATTTACTTCACTCTCTTTCAAATATTAAAATTTATAGTGAAATACATTTAAATATTCTGGCCCTTTATTTTTATTGATGTGTAAAATTCCTCTCTAATTCTCTTTCCTAAGAAATTCTTGTAGAATTCCAGTAGTTGTATAAAGAACACTAAATTCTAAATATTTTTCCAGCATTTTTTGCTAGTTTCTTGTGAATATATCTCTCTCGCTCTGCCTCACTGCATCTTAAATATTTGTGGCACATTTTCGTATGCATCTTTGCCTCGCTCTGAAATATTTGTAAAAGCAAGTTGGTTTGTCTAAATCACTTGCTCTCTCTCTGTCTTTATCTTGCTCTCTCTCTCTCTCTCTCCCACTCTCCACCTCAGCCTTTATCTGCTAGCACAATAGCCTATATTTTCATGGAATTTACCGCACTTGTAACCAAGGTATGCTGAACACCTTTTGCTGCCAATGACCAATCTGAGCTGTGTGTGTGGGTGTGTCTGTGTGTGTGGTTTTGTCGCAGGCCAACACGGGTCACAGGCATATTTGGAATATATAACCACTAGCATTTTAAAGTTTATTAAATGGAAACCCGAAAAATCCTAAGCTTAGCCAGGCCTCGCACAGCAGCAATTGGCCAGTCTGCCGTTGTAATTTACGTAACCAGTCGAATGGTTTTTTCTATTTTGTGTTTTTTTCTCATTTCTTTTTGTTTGCGTGGATTTGGGTAGGTGGGCAGAAAAGTTTTTTTTTATTGTTAGCTTACTTGCTGAACGCGTGTCGGCTGTCCGCTTCGGGTGCTGGAGGTGGCGAGGGATCTGGATGAGCCTGAAGGTCTTGACGCCGTCATTGTCGTTGTTGATTTGCGTTTGGCTATGCTGCCTTTTGGTCTGGCGGCGGGGGCGGGAGGCGTCGATGGCTTCGGCGCTGTGGGCGGGGCTGTTGCTTGCGGCGTTTGCAACACGAGCAATGAAACTTTTTCTTTGACTGTTGCTTTTATCGCTCTTGATTACTGTTGTTGTTCTGATTGTTGTTGTTGTTATTATTGTTGTTGTTGTTGTTGTTGTTGTGATTGTTGTTATTATTTTTGTTGTTGTTGTTGTTGTTGCTGCTATCGGGCAGAAACTTCTTACATGCGCCTCACCATTTGGTCTTTAACGATTTTTGTTATTCTCTCTCTCGCTCTCTTTGTTGTTGTTTGGTCTATATTTAATTTGTCATTAGAACGAAGTTTGTGTTATTTTTATTGCTGTGCTCAAACAAAAAACGCGAAATCGATTTGTTCGAACGATATTTCTATTTGATTCACACGACTGTCCGCAACATGCGGCACGTTTTGGCAAGCAAAGCAATATAAACACACGCACACACACACACACACACACACTCACGCATACACGGATAGAGACACAAATACTTGTACACAATTCACGACAGACTTCTTCTGTATCGGGCTTTTGTTGTTTAGTGGGCTTTGCGGGCCAAAATCGAAACACGCACGCACATGTTGGCGCTTAATATATGGCCGATGTCCTGTCGCCTGAAGCTCAAGTGGCACTTGAGCTAGACGCTGGCGACACTCGCATCGACAACAGCAACAACGGCAACGGCAATGGCAACGGCAACAGCAACAACGATAACGGTACCGGCAACTGTCAGTGCCACTTTAGTTCCCTTTTTGTAGCAACGTGTGTGACAAGTGGTCACAGGTTTCAATTATTGTTGCTGCTGCTGCTGCGCTGCTGCTGCGCTGCCACTGCGCTGCTGTTGCTGATGATAATGTTGATGATGCTGACGATGTTATTGTTTTTATTTAACCAACGGGCCGTCGCATGGGCCGCTGCTGCGCTGTCGCTGGTGCCTGCTTCGAATACTGAACAGCAACTGAATCTTGCCACGGCATGCCAAATCCTTTGCCGGTCAAACAGACAACAGCAGTTGCGGCGAATTGGGGCGACGAGAGCGCGTCGGCGCACTCAGTTTTGGCGCGCAGAGCGAATTTGAAATGGGCGCAGAGTCGCATGCGAACGTAGCAAATGCAAAAGGGGAGCAGAAAGCCAAGTTTCAGTGGGTTAAGACTTGAGCTGAGCGAAGCTAAACGAAATAGGTTGAACTCTTAAGTAGAAACTCGAACTGTCTCATGCATTGCTTTTAATAAATTTATCTGTAGAGAAATACCAATTTGATTGCTGTGGAGTCGAGCTTCGGCTGGAGTCTCCCCTGAGTCGAGCCGCATAATCAAGTTGCCAAGTTTTTGCCCAGGGCAGCCGGAGGCAGAGCCAATGCTACTTGCGAATTTACATATCCATTTCTATACACAGTTGCCTGCTGCTGTCAGACTGCCGCATGCCGCATGCCGCATGCCCCTTGCCACCATCGGTGTGCGGGGCGTCAATATTTGCATTTGTAATAACAATATTTTGATGGCATACCCCAAATGTGTGCGTAAATCTAAAAAAGATTTGTTATTGCTGGCTCGAGTTTGTGTTGCGCTGCGTTGCGTTCCGCTTCATTCCATGTTTGCGCGGCTAAACAACAATCGGTGAAGGGAACAGCAGCATAGATACAACAGCAACACCAACAGCAACAGCAACAACGATGGCAACATGCCGGCGTCGGTGCCACATCATGCTTCAGCTTGGGCAGCTTGATGTCGCTCGCTGGAAGTTATTAAAATTTCATAAAATATGAAAATGCTGCAAATATATGAAACGACAACACATCTGATTTCTCGATTGTCGCCAGAGTCCCGTGTCACTGACAGCTGTCAATCCTCTGTCCCAGCTACCCATTCTCCCTCTCCCTCTCTCTCTCTCTCTCTCTCTCTCTCTCTCTCTCTCTCTCTCTTGATTGAAAATATGCAACTTCTCCGTTCTGGTTGACATCTCTTTTGCATTTAAATATTTAGTCAGCAGTCTCACAAGCTGAAAACTTAAATGCTCTGACAATTAACAGACTTTATTGGTAGGGGAGTTAGACTAGGCCCAGAAAGTTTTGAGCAAAGCTAGCATTCATAGTTGTTCTTAATAATACCAATAGCTTTAACTAATCGTGATTCAGATTATACTCATATCAACCACAGCAATCGCATCATATTATTTCGATATGTTCTTACCTTTCCTTTTTTTTTTTTTTTAATTATTTGTTTTTATTATTTAATTTTTTGGTATCAATCCAAGAGAGATCATCAATCAATTTAAAATTGTCTAGATATGTGATTGATTTATTGTGCGTTGAATTTACTGCACAGTCTCTATCTCTATTTCTCTCACTCTCCGTCTGAGTAAGAGCTTAGGCGATACACCACTTTGAGGAGATGCATTCGAATTCTGATACTTAAAGAGAGTATAAAATGGATATAAATATAAATATTATATCACATGAATTACATGAATTCTATTATAATTACTACAATAATAATAATAATAATAATTATATAGTATTTCCAAAAGTAATATACGATATATATACATATATAGATAACTCAATGGTTAGAAACAGCTCTATGATAAATACACAGAATGAGAGCTCTATGCCCTTGATCTTGTACCAGTAGCCCAAGTTAAGAGGATATCCCACAGGCCTATCCTAAGCTGTCCTAAATATATAATTCAATCACTTAGTCTGCATCAACTAAGGCGCTTTATATATAGTCTTATTTAGTTAGCTGTAAATATGGGAATTCCCGTTAATAGGCTTACCATTTAAAAACGTAAATACATTAAGAAACATTAACTATAGAAACCAGATGGATTAAATCAAAAATTTTTAATACAATTCGAAATCTACATCAATCAGAGATCTCTCATTGCCTGGTAAATAGATGCTCATCAATGAGAAAAATGTAGGTAAATTGATTGATTAAATAGCTATGCCCATTTGCAGGGCATAGGTATATATATATATATATATATATATATATATATTGATATTGGAAATGGCATCGTGGAAATGGCGCTCGGCTTTTGACACCTACGCGGCGACGTTGTCAATGTCACTTGTCATGGCCAAATTGGCGCATCTCATGAGCGATGATTGCCTGGCGGATGTTATGGATCACCAGTGTGGGCGATGCACCGAGCACCTAGAAGCATTCAGAGACATCCAGGGCAACCTGGGACAGCCAGATGCAACGGCAGCTGGGCAACTCTGACTCGAACGGCATGTTAAGTGGCAGAAGTCAAACGGGACAAGATTTAATTTTGACTTTGATGAATGTGCATTGATTTTCCCTCATATTTGTGGTGTCCATTTTTTTCTATATTATTGTTGGTGTTGTTGTTGTTGCGCTCTGTGTGCAGCGGCGCAACGCTAAAAACTTTTACATGCTTAAATTATTATTAAATTGATGGATCTCGTAGACTAAATTAGCTATGCCGCATGCTCAGCATGAATATCGTTTCTGTGCTCAACATTTATTTAATTTCCTCGATTTCATTCAGCTATATATATTTATAAAATAAAAATATGTATATATATATATATATATACATAAATATTTGTATGTTTGCCTAAGTTTCGGCTAGCTGTGCTCGCTTCACGCGTATTTTGCGTGGAAATATTTAAGTTTATTTTTGGTACATAATTTCCTTTGGCATTTCCAATATAGCTCCAATACACACATACACATACGCAAACAAATTACACACATTTGCATAGCTACAATATAATGTTTTATGAGTTTTTAAGATGCCAAAAACAAATAACACAAAAAAAAAAAAAAAGGAAAAATAAGTATAAAAGTTCTTCCACTTGGCACTTGGGCTCAGGAGGTTGGGAAAAGTTTTTTTGGGACAGGCTGCACCTGTATGGGGAAATAAATTTAATTTTTAACGTGAAATGCGAACTCTGACCCAGCAGCCAACGGTTTCTGTTTGAAAGTATTTAAGTATTTGATTCCATGTCACATTTTGGCTGCTTCATTCGGTCGAAGGTTTCGCTTATTGGCGACGCAATAAGATGATAAATTACACAAAACACAAGTAATGTTGCCCGCCCTCTATGTGTGGTGGGCGGGGACGGGCTTCGTTGCCATGACGCCGGTTAAATTATATGCCAAATAAAAATCACTCATACGCCAAGTGCGACAGAGCGAGGGGGACCCCCGATGTACTGCCACGCATTTCGCATTTCGCCGCCTGTCAACCGAGTCGAAATCTCAGCTGGAAGTTTACAACTGTCGCCGCTCGTAATCAGCTTTATTTCGGTGCCTGATGATATGCCGTTAATGTACTTGAAGTGCGGCGTCTGGCCAGCGTCTTGGCCTTGTTTACTTTCCATTTGCGCCGTGGCGCGAACTTTGACAACTGCCACTCGCCCCCGCCCGACCCCACCGTTCAACTCAGTCAAAGAACAGCATTTATTATACATGTATGTATTTTCAAATATTTATTCTCATATATTTGCCTTTTGTTGTTGTGTTTTGTTAAATTACTTAATTTGTCCAATCGAATTTCAATAATTTCGTTATAGCTTTTACAATAGTTCACATCATATCTTATGATTCTGTGGTTTGCTTTTTTGGTTTTTATTGCTGTTTGAACGCCTCGAGGCTGTTTGTTTCTCTATTAGTTTCGATTTCGGTTTCGGTTTCAGTTTCAGTTTCTGTTGGTTTAGCTCTAGATCTCGGCATAGCAATGCTGTAGTTAAGCACAAAAATAAATAACACTCACGTTTTACATGTTAATATCCATATACAAATACAAATACAAATACAAATATAAATACAAATACAAATACAAGTACAGTTACATATACATATACTAGGTATATAAACATCGTTAGGCATATAAATTAGTTTAGCTATTGATTTGTTTATAAAAATATAACAAGTTCTTTGGAGTTTGCTTCCATCATTCGATCATTGATAAGGAAAATCAGATTTGAATGACATTTTATACAATATTAACATAAAGAGCTTTCACTCCTCATAATTGATTTGCCTTGCATTTTTGTGGTATTCTTTTGTTTTTCGTTTCTCTTTTATTATTTACTTATTTTTGCTTTGCTTTGCTTTCTATCGGCTGACTAGAATCGTGGCTTTTAGCATTTGTTTCCTTTTCGCATTCATTACATTTAAATTATTTATCCTATTTCATTATTATTATTTTTTCTAAAAATAAAAAGCTTCTTGGGTTGCATTTGAATGCACACAGTTCAAAGGAAGAAAACTAAACACAATGGCAAACTGATATTTTATTTTTTATTATTAATATTAACAAAGGACCTAGCGAACGATACGAACTGCTCTTTTTAAAGTCAACACTTCGATTATAATTCATATTCATAGTTTTTTTTTGTTTCTTTTATGGAAGTCCAGATTCGGTTTTGGTTTCGGTTGAGTTAGTCCCACGTTGAGCTTGGGCCGCAGTTGCTGGAATCAAGTTGCTGACTTTGTAAGCAATGCAAAAGCCTTCCCCTTACAGGCGACACAGTCAACTTTATTCCAGGAACTGCAACGCAATTAATACACACACACACACTCACACACACTCACACTTTGAACACTTTGCATCGAATAGAAACACTTGACACGTCGAATTGAATTTAACTAGCGATATCGTTGTATATACTTGATCTATTTATAGTAGGGCTTTATTTAAGTTGCACTAGATTACTTTTGATTTTGACTGCCACACTCGTTAATTTCCATTTAATTTATGCATTCGTTTAACTATGACATTTCTCTATTTGCTTGTATTATTATATAATATATATATTTTTTTCTTCTTTTTTTTTTTTTTTTTTGGTTTTTGAGCATTCTTATTGCATGCGATTGTCGTTCAATAATATATAACATAACATTTTATTTCTATGCATATTTAGTATGTGTACTTACATATATGTATGTATGTATGTTTGTATGTATGCATGTATATTTGGGTATAACTTCTCTGTTCAATTGAATTGCATTCCGTGTGCCATAAATTTGTTCAACTTGATCTCTATACAATGTTTAGCTAATTAGTTCATAACTTGTCATTTGGTTAATTGGCACAGTTTAAATTTTAGTTAAACTCTCTCTCTATATATATTTATATACTATATTTAATTTTTTGTTCTCTATTGCCTGGTTGCCTCATCTTCTGCTCTCTTATATGACGATATATGTATATATATTGCTGCTTAGCTTTAGGTTTCTGATTGCCGGTTTCGTATGATGTTTAAACGTACGTTTTAGTTTAGTTTTACTTCTGCTTTGCTTTTGCCGGGCTTTGAAATGTGTTTACAACCTGCGCTTAACTTAAAGTAACTATTTACACAAACAAAGAAAATTATAAATAATAAATAAATCACTCATGCTCTTTTTTACTCATTCTCAGCCAAATTGAAGCTCCATCAGTGTAGCAAAAACGAAATGAAAGCGAACAGACAACGCGCCTATGGAGTGCACCTCGCACACGGCTGAATCCGTAAATGTTGACTTAAATATTTACAGTGCGAGCGCAAGCAGCATATTAATTTTAAAAATTAATGGAAAATTGTAATTGCATTTGTTCGATTGATGCAACTGGGCCATTGTCTGGCTTTGGTTGCTGTGGTTGTCGTTGTTGCTGTGGTTGTTGTTGTTGCTGTTGTTGCTGCTGCTGCTGCTGCTGCTGTTGTTGCTGGCAGTCTCTTACACATGACTGGAGGCCGTGGCGGCTGCTGCATTGTTGTTCTTGTTCCATTTGTTGATATACTCCATGGGTATCTCGATCTGAATCTCCTGCACATCCTCGGCCGACAGGCTGCCCAGATTCTGCTTGGGCCTGGGGTTATCCAGCCGGGAGCCGGGCGCGGCGCCAGCCGCCAGCCGCTGCTGCTGCTGGGCAATGGGCGTTAGCAGCGCCTCGTCCCTGTATTATAAGTTGTCCACCATCTGTGACTGGCGGCGATGCGAGGGCGTGTTCGAATTGAGATAGCTCTCCGAGTAGACGCTCTTCGCGCGCTGATCGTAGCGCAGGCTGGAGCGCCGTATGTCAATGTCCAGCGGCATGTGCCTGTCCTTCCACCAGTTGCAGAACAGGCAGAGCAGCGTGTTGCGGAAAGCCTCCCGGAAGTCGCGATTGAAGTACGCGTAGATCAGCGGATTGAGCGTGGAGTTGAAGTAGCCAATCCAGAAGAGTATCGAGACCACAATGTCTGGCACCTGGCACGCGTCGCAGGTCATGGAGAGCGTGTACCTGCGAATGCACGAATAATTCAAGCCACAATCATAACAAAAGAAATGCGAACTGTTTGCCTCTTTTTTTTTTAAGAGGCCGCCAACAACGACAACAGCTCAAAGAGCCGCCGTGGCGTATGAGTAATATTTAATTATGCATGTCGAGACATTAAATAAATTACACTTGAGCCGGCTGCCAGCGGGTCGCATCGCTCACTTACCACACGAAAAATGGCAGCCAGCAGAGAATGAAGGTGCCCATGATGATGCCCAGAGTGCGCGCGGCCTTGTGCTCCCGCTTCATTTTGATTAAATGTTTGTCCTTTGTCGGGGTGTGCTCCTGCTCGACCTCATGCAGTGTCAACGTTTTCGATGAGCCCGAGCCGCTCAGCGCCTCGCCTGCCAAAAGGGACATGAGAAATGCGCAGGGATTAGCATCAACTCTAGCCCGACCATGTGTGTGTGTGACTCTGTCAGCCAGCTAGACAGTTCATCCAGCCGATTGGTAATTCAAGCCTTTGGCTCTCAGCTCTCACCTGATGGCTGCATCGATGGGCGATGCATGAGCATCGCATTGCCATGGCGCATCATCAACTGCTTCTCCTGCCGGTTGGCCTCACGGAAAATGGCCAGATAAGTGAAAATCATTATGGTGCAGGGTATCCAGAACGAAATCGAGCTCGATATGATGGCATAGTAAGTGTTCACCACAAACGAGCACTGCTCGGGATGCTCCTTCACGAATACCTTGTGCTTGTCTGTCGTATACCAGCCGATGAAGATGGGCAGGAACGAGAGCAGCGCCGGCGATATCCATGTGTTCAGCAGCATAATGCCAACCACGCGTTTTGTCATGCTAATCGGATACTTGAGCGGCTTCACAATGGCATAGTATCTGCAAAAAAGAGCAGAAGCAGCAGCAGCAGCAGAATGCCACGGTTATTAGTATTTCAAGAGAGCCCTCACACACACACATATATCATCATCAGCTGTTGCCGTGAAGTACGTACCTATCCACTGATATGCAGCATAAATGCAAAATGCTTGCAGTTGAGAAGTACACGTCCAAGCTGTTCCACAGGTCGCACAGGAAGGGGCTGAAGTTCCAGCTGAATATTTGAAAGAAAGCAAACAGGAAAATGTTGACAGGTCTATGATTAAGCTATTAACTTTATATTATGTAATAACGGCTCGATGTGCAAATGTTTGCCCCACAAAGTATACTATGATAAGTTCAAAGCTCCCTGGCCGAACTCTAGCTGCTGTGGCTGTCTTATCAGCGTGTCCGATTTATGTGTTTATCGATTTCATCTCTTGTTAGTTTTGGCTGGCTGGCAGGTGACATTGCCCATGAACTGGCACAGTTTGCCAGCCAGGCCGAGCTGTTTTAATGCACTGTTCGGCCAGCCACAATGACTGTTATGTTGCCGTAGGCACGCACACAGACACATACCCACACACACACAGAGGGAAGGACTTCTACACGCGAATGAGCTGGTTGCATGAAAAACTCATTAAAAGTCGCGCCGTTGTCCCTGCTGAGCCGCGCCTACTCCGCCCTAATCGTCCCCCAATCGACCCGACCCATTTGTTCTCTCTCTCTGCTTGGTTTCGCCAACGGGCAGGAAAATTTATTATCAGACGACCGGCTTGGCATCAGTTTCAAAAACTTTTTGACTATTCAGAAACTGTGTGTGCGCACGCCTGCAGTAATGCCAGGATCGGGGAATGAAGGCATAGGCATAGGCGTAGGTGTGGGCATGGGCGTAGGTGTAGGCGTGGCCCTGCTCGTGTTTGCCTTTTCAGCGTTTTGCAAGTCTCTTTTTTTCCCCCCCCATTTCCCATTTCCCATTTTTGTTCTTGTTTTTGCTTTGTTCCGTTATGCGCTGCCATGAATTGGCGCTTAAGCTGGCCCACACAGAAGGGGGCGCGCCAACGATGGCGACGTCGGCGCCGCGGGCCAGTGTCAATTATGCAGCCAGCGACAGTGAAGGTAAAATTGCTAATGAATGCCAAGTGGGCTCTGGCTGGTAACGAGCTCAGCTGCCAATTTATATGCAACTTTCGTGGACAAGTGGCTGGTCGAAAGTTTTCCAAAAGGCCTGGCCCAATTCCAATACCACGCCCAACTCCGATCCCCAGCACCAGCACCAGCACCAGCCCCAACGCCAGCGCCAGCCCAAACAAAGTGCAAGTTGCGACATTATGCGCTGCACTCTCGTGGGAGCAATGAAACGATGTGGCTGGCGATGACATTGCAAACATTTCTGCTGATCTTTTGCCCCGAGTCGAGCTTAAAGTCGTCGAGCTTCAAGTCCACAGCTGCAGCTGCAGCCTGTGCATAATTAACTGGGCTATGTCTGTGCGCTTGGCATCACATGCACATATCGCATTACAATTGCACAAACAAGCACACACACGCACACACACGCACACACACATGGACAGCTGTGTGAAGGATGTGACCATGTCACACTCTGACGGGTTTTTGTGCCCAAGAATAGCAGTTGAAAGAGCGCGTTTGTGTGTGCCGTCATTCTCTGCTCTGCATGCATACCCTTGCCAACTGGAAGACACTGAGCTAAGAGATGGCGTTGGCGACACTTGAATGTGTGAAAGAGAGAGAAAGTTGCATTTTTAAGGTAAGTTGCTAACTTACATTCAATCTATTACTACCTATTATTAACACTTTAAACAGACTATCAACTTAATTATTTTATTTTAAGACTTTTTACTGTATAATTTTCACATACTCTATTAATAATAAAACAATAAAACAATAATAAAATAATAAAATAATAAAACAATAAAAACAATATACAAAATATACAAAACAATAAAAAAAAAAGAAAATAAATAAATAAAAGGGAATGAACTATTATAATTATCTTTCAAATAATAGACTAACGAAATTATGCCCTAGCAGACTCTAGCAACTGCTTACAGTTCCAACAAAGTCGTTAATATATATATATATATTTTTTTTTTTAAATTTGCATTGCAAGTTAAAAAAAATAAAAGATGCTTTGTAATAATAGATAAAATTTATATATATTAAAAAATAAAATACATGCTAACTTCTGTTTGTTTTGAAAATTATTTTGCAAGCGAAATTGTGATCTACTCTCTAGCAAATTTTTTATTTACTTGAACTTCAAACAAAGCTCGCTTTTTCATATTTTAATTACAAGTTTTTAATTAAATGCTTTTCATTAAAAAAAGGATTTGCTTCAATGAACTTTTCTAGTTTTGTCTGTTTTTTGTTTTTTTCTTTTCATTCCATAAAAAGTATTTTATATCCGATTCCCAGAGCTAAAAGTATATATGTATATTCATTTTTATTTCATTTGCTGTAGAATTGGCTTGCAGCGTGTATTTAAGTCACATACAAAAATATATATATGTGTATATAGGGGAATTTCGTAGTTTATTATTCGCACATTTTAATACTCAAACAGAGACGTACGCACATGAGCTGAAACACAAAGCGAGATGACTTTGTGCATTTGCATTCGCACATACAATCACATATGCAAAGCCACCCACCCACACACACACACACACACACGTAGCTAGAACAAATGTTGCCTTCATTTTTCAGGGACTTGTTTGGTTGTTTGCTCGGACACTTTCACTACCCCAACATAGCTGCAGCCGCCCCTTTACGGTCGACTGACATTTTAGTTGCCACAGCGCTCAGTTGCAGTTGTAATTCTTGTATGTATGTAACTATACATGAGTGTGTGTGTGTGAGTGTATTTGTATGGTTTTTTTTTTGTTGTACTTACCGCCCAGTTACTTGCACACTAAAGTTAAATGTCATGGCCATAATAGCGACCATTATATCAGCCATGGCTAAGGAAACTACAAAGTAATTCGTTATAACTCTGCAAAGAGAAGAGAGAGAGAGAGAGAGGGTGAGAGAGTGAGTGAGTGAGTGAGCGAGTGAATGCACAATCAGTAAACGAAAATAAAACCAGATATTACAAATCATGACAGCAGCCCAAGCAGCAACAACAATAACACTATGAACAATAGCTGTAACGGGCTGTGCGATATGGCATATCCTTAGATGACTAATCAGTATTTGCTGCACCTCTCCATCTTGCACATCCTTGTGGTGTATGTGTGTGTGTGCCATTGCCCCCGAGGGGGAGCTATTGTACCGATGGGTCTCTGTGAAGGACGGCAAATGACATCTGCCTGCATTCTGCTGCCAGCATGGGGCATAATTGAAAGACAAGCCAGGCATCGTGATGGAAAATGTGGTCTTTTGGCTTAGCCAGGCTTACCCGGCCACTGCCTCTCGCATGTGACATTTAAGCTTTACTGCATAATGAGTGACTGGCAATGCGCCGTGTGGCATGCGGCATGCGGCATGCCGCATGTGGAGCTGTTGAGTAATCGAAGCTATTCAATTCTTGTTAAGCAGTTTACGTGACGTATACGTAATTTATGCAGCCTAAAGCAGTTTCTGATTATGATTGAGCTCTAATGCAAATCCAATGTTTATTCCTCAGCTGTCAGCAGCAGCGACTTTTCTCTATTCTCTAGAGCTGCTCTTGAATAACGGTCCGTAGTTTGAGCCGTTAATTGCAACAAATAGCCGCCATTTTGTAAATGCGTTGCCATTATTTAGCCAGCACTCTCTCTCTTCCTCCCTCCCTCTTTCCCACTCTCTCTTTCTAGCTGCTTGCTGCCTCACTTGCACACTTTAATCGGCTGCTAGCAGCATTAAATTTTCCAACAGCTAGCAAAATAAAGAAAATCTCATTTAAACACTTTGGCGGCCGGCGCTGCTAGAAGCCGGAAGCAGTTGCCAAGCATCCTTCAGCTGAAGGCGGCGCCGCGACGTTAATTAGTAGCCTCCATGTAATGCCAAATGGATGCTACACATTGGATGCCACTCACACACACACACACGCACAGCGCAGAGCCGTGGCTCATCTTTAAGAGAGCAAAAATGTGAAAATAAATTCAGACAGCGCGGCAAGCGTTTTTATTGTGCGTCGTATAGAAAATTTAAAATTTATGCAGCCATAAAAACCATAAGCCGCCTTAATTGCCAAAGTTTTGGTCGAGGGGCTTCTGTGTCTGTGGTGTCACTTGTTTGCTTGGATACCCTGCAAAACGATTTGCAGTGAGCATGACAGGCTTGCAGTTGTTCTTATGCAAACTTTGGGCTTTGGTTGCCTGCGTATTTAATTTAATCTAACTTCTATTTCTGCCTTAGAATTTATCTGGGAATTTAGCTGGGTATCTACTAGTCGCATATACCCATTGAATACAAATTCTTCGCTCGCAATTTTGTGGACTGCATGGTGTTTTTTGTTGAATTTTTTAAAAGTTTAACTGTCACGCTTTATTATTTTGTTGTTGTTTTATTATTATTATTTTTTTGTTTTCCATTCTTGCTGCTATATCAAATATTCTCTCTTTTTTGTTGTTGTCAGTTTCACATTCCATTCTTTGTGGCATTGTTTCAAGCAGCGCCGCATCCATGCGTTCCATTTGGAAAAAATAGAACAATAGATGGATTTGCAGCCTGTGGGCAGTAGCAGCTGCCGATTTATCAAGCACACGTTTGGATTTTTTTCTAATCTCTTGCGCCTGACTGGCAATTATTTTCGGGAGAGATGTGAGATTTATATGCGAGAGCGGCTCATGCTCTTGGGCAAACATCGACTAAACTCACACACAAACCCAAGCAACCTCACCATCATCATCAGCATCAGCATCATCATTATCATCGGCACATTATTAGTTAGGCCTTGGGACAGCGACTGAGACTCTGGCAGCTAGTTACTTAAAAAATAAAATGCTGCTCATTAGTCGAGGCAGAACGAGAGAGAGAGAGAGAGAGAGAGAGAGAGAGAGAGAGAGAGAGAGAGAGAAATTAAGCGACGTTCAACCTTAATTACACCAACCTCTTGCCATGGCCAGCTCGATTTGGACTTCTTGTTATTCTTTCTCTTTGCCAAAGTTTGTTTGCCTCATTTTCAGTGTCCTTTTTCGAGCTCCACTTAAAGTTTTCATTACATCGAAGAAATTTGCATTAGGAAAAGCGAGCGCGAAAAAAAAAAAATTATAATAGAAAGGAGACAGAGAGAGAGAGAGAGAGAGAGAGAGAGCGAAGAATAGAGTACCTAAAGGTGGTGTGGCAAAATCTTGGTGGGTAAGGTACAACTTTTGATTACACGCCCGTAGGACGAGGCGACGACGTTAACTTTGATTATGTGCACCCGTCGGACCTGGCCTGGGAGACCCCGTGGGTTTTATGATGCGCTAAATTGATTTGCCTGCCAGTTATTAAGGCATAACTAAAAATATTAACGAACCGAGCCAAGCTGACGACCCATCATTTATCACTAGAAAACTTTTTTATGGTAATGTCGCGCACTCTGTCTCTCTTACTGTCACTGTCCCTGTCTCTGCCTCTGTCTCTGTCGCTCTAGATAAATGTTGAGCGAAGGACGGCGACATCGCCATTCTCCGTGCCATGAGTTGACAGCGCATCCAACGAGGTCGTCTCGCTGAGATGTTGACAAGTATCAATTCTCACACATGTGTGTGTGCGCCTTAGTGTGTGTGCGCCTAATTAAAATAAATGTTATCATCAACAGAAATTCTTTGTAAAAAAAAAATTAAATAAAATAAAATAGAAATAATATGGGTCCGGCGAATAGGGGCAATCTTGTAATGTATATAAAAGGAAAATTTGCCCACTTATATACCAGCTATATTCTAATAGAAAAGCGCGAATCTCCTGATTAATAATGATAATGATAATAATGAAGAAATAATAATGAAGAAATGTTTCTGAGCAGGCGAAAAGGGCTAATTAAATAATACAATAAGAAAACATTTATGCAGTTAAAGACATCTAACTTGGCATTTAATATGAAAGATGAGTTGGCTGTCTTGAATGCCAGATATGGTGCTAATCAAAAAACGTGAATCTGCTAATTAATATTTGTGCTGATACAGTTACTATGTGCCGCTCCCCTGGACTCGGCAAAGTTACTCGAATCTAATTCGGGGCAGCTGGAGGGAGAGAGAAATGCAAATGGATGTGCATAGTGTGGCAGGGCAAGCTAGTCGGGACTTGCTTAATTATTAGCAAAATAAATAAGGACAGCAAATGGCTACATAAAGCACAAGCAGACAAGTCGTGAAATGTCGGGCAGAAAAAATGGGGGTAGAGAAGGGAGGCGGAGCGGAGGCGGAGACGCACGTGGGGAACGACTTTTGGACGTGCATGAATTTTATGCGAAGCTGACAAAAATTGAGCAGAGAGAACGGAATAATTAGAAAGTGTTAAGGCAGCGTGTGCAGGTGCGGGCGAGGGGCGAGGGGGCGAGTGGGCGAGGCAGAGGCTGAGGCTCGGCGCAAATTGGCAATCAAGGCAGCTCCAAGGGGAAGGGCGGGAGGCAGCACAGCTTTGTGTAAATTTTACGCAATTACAAAACAAGTAAAAGAAAAACGCAGAGAGAAAAAGAGCGAGAGAGCGAGAGAATGAGAGAAAGGGAATGGAACGCTAATTGCTTTTCACAGATAATTAGAATGGAATGGGAGCAGAGCTGGGCTCAGCGCGAGCGGAGCACATTGCGTATACGCACCTTAATTTTCTAACACGCATCACAGAAATAATAACAAGCAGATTGCCGCAGATGGCCGCAATGATGATTAACAGCATGACGGATGCCTTGAGCACCCAGATCAGATCGTCGAACCAATCCTCGGCCCCCTCGGCTGCGGCAAGTCCTGCATCCAGCGTGGCTCTGCTGTCGTTGTAGAGCGCGCCGGACGTGCTGCTCAGCAGCGTGGCATTCAGATCGTGTGTGGCGGGCAGGGGCGTGGCAGTGCCTTGCAGCGGCAGTGCGACGGCATCGAGGGCGCCAGCCGTGGCGGTCAGCGCGTTCGTTGTGTGCAGCACGGCAGCCGTGGCCAGCGCCGCCGTGGCGCCGATCAGCCTCAGACTGAGGCCGGGGCTGCTCCTTGGGCTCGTTGTGGTGCGTCGTATTGTGGTTGCAGTTGCAGTTGCAGTTGCTGTGGCTGTTGCTGTCGCCAGTGGCGACTCGAGTTGTGCCGCTGGCTCTGGTTGCATCTCTGGCCGCTGGCCACTGCAGCGGCAAAGTCTTTTGCGTATCCTTGTGGCGCTGCTTCTGTGTCGCATCGTTGTTGTTGTTGTCGCCGCAGCGCTGGATAATGCGGGCAGATGTCCCAGCTCCAGGCACGGACTAGCTGGCATTTGACTTGACTTTAGCATAGACACAGACACAGACACAGTCACAGTCACAGACACGGCACGGACAGGAGCTCTTTCACTCGCTTTCTCAAATATTCTTTTAGTAACTTTTTACTTGGCTTCACTTGCAGCTGTTGCGGCTGCTCTTGGCCCGCTTTCGCTAGCCTCTCAAACGGACTCGGACTCGAACTCGAACTCGCACTCGGTCTGGGTCTTGGTCTCAATCTCTTGCACTTGCGTTAATTCGCTGGGTGAGCAGCTGCGCCATTAGGGATTCGCGACACGCGTGGCGCTAGCGACGTTGAAATCAAAACTGAAACGGCCACCGCAACGGAAATTGATTCGCGGACCGTGCGACGGCAAAGGCGACGCACACGGCAGCGGGACGACAGAGAGACGGCGAGGGAGACGGCGCGGTAGACGTCAACGTCCACGTCAACGTCAACGTTCAGCGTTCAGCGTTCAGCTTTCGTGTCGCTTTTGGTGGCTGTCCTTGCCAACGCTAGCCGACGCCCACTCAGCTCGACTGTTGTTGTTGTTGTTGTTGTAGTACTTGTTGTTGTTAAAGATAATATTATTATGGAGACGTCGCTGTTGCTGGACTCGCTCGCGTTTTGGCTATGCGGCTTCTGTTTTTATTTTACTCTATTTGTTGTTGTTGCAGCCTCTGCTCGCTGATTGGTTTTTTGCTTGCTTCAAGCGACTGCGTTTTAATTCTGTTCATTTTTGCTCTTTCTTTTTCTAAAATTTATTTTTCTTTTTATACATATATATATGTATATGTGTATATTATTTTTTTCTTTTTGATTGCTGCGGCGACCGTGTCGCTTAGCTGCTGCTGCCGCTGGTTGTGGTAGTGCGGCTTCTGCCACTAGATTTAATATTTGTTGTATTTATTTTTAACATTTCTTGTCTTCGATCTATTTTCAGCACTGTTCGTGCAAGTGGTTTTCACATTTACATACATATACTGCACCAACTCACGATGTTTCCACGCTTTCGCCGCTCTGCCATGAAACCAAAAAAACGTTGGAAATACATAAAAACTCATGCGTTTGCTATTCATAATTGCTGTTGTCGTTGTTGTGGTTGTTGTTTTACTTTTGTTTTATGCTCTTTGTGTATCGAAATTAAGTTCTTGTTATATATGTATATATGCTTGTATAATTTGCTATCGTATTTGTATTGATTTTAGTCAATATTTGTTTATTCGCTGACGTAGAAATATTAATTGAAATGGATTTGGTGTATTGCTTGAGTGGCATTGGGCATACAGGGTGCCCATTAAACAACTAACACGAGATACAGATTATTATTTATATTATTTTTCCTTTCATTCCCTGCGACTCTTAAATAATATCTGTTTTATTTCTATGCCAAAGATAAATCTTTGAGTAGTCAGAGCGAAAATGGCGCCGTTTCGTGTTTTTGGCAAATAGAGGGTGCCTCACTCAAGGCAAACTGAATTGAAATATTAAAGCAGCTGAAATTGTAATTCATAATATAGCTAACAACTTGACCAACATAACTGTTCTAGTCTATAGCTAGCTTTCATATCGGACGCATCCTGTCGAACACCCTGTATACTGAAAATGATTTATATGACGACAGCTGCGCCGAGGAATGTCACTCTCTTGATGCTTTTTGCTGCTCACTCCAAGATATTTTCTTTAGCTCTACGCATTGCCCATTCCTATGCTCCCTTTGCAATATTCAAGCTAAAAAAAAAAAAAATAATAATAATAAATAATAATAAAAATAAGTAAATAAAATAAAGAACAACTCAAAATGAAATCCTAATGCTATTATTATTGTCTTTCGAGCTCTGTTGCCTTTAGTCACTTTATCTATATTTATGTAGATGTATATAGTCTAGGCTATAATTGTATGCGACTCTTGTATGTTTTGTGTATTTCTATTTAAAATATTCTCTAATTTTTTTCTGAATTAATTTCCTGATGATGTTTTATTTTCATGTTCGCACACGCTTTTAGCTCTGGCAACGTGGCCGCCTTTTTGATGTTATTGTATGAGTCTGTTCGTGTCGTTGTTGTTGTTGTTTTTGTTGTTGTTGTTGTAGCACACAACAAATTGGCCACTCGCATTTTGGCGGCCACGAGCTTTAAATTAGACGCCCAGCTGCGTAGGTTTATTTCATTTTGGATTTACTCGTTTGCATGACACATTTTTGAGCACTTTCGCGTTTCGTTTCGTATTTTTTTTTTTACTGGTTGGCTTTTAGCACAGAGCAGCCAAAATACTGTTAATTAAGGCAACTGTCAGCAAAGGAAGTTGCTCGCATTGAGCCGCAGCATATGGCCAAAAAGATTCACTTGCTGCCGTTGCTGTCGCCGATGTCGCCACGCCCTGGCGCAAGTCCAAATCAAGCAACTGCAATGAAATGGAAATAGAAATTCAGAAAAAGTTATATAAATAAATTCATATTAAATTCTATAAAATATAAATTAAGTGCGCATAAATATTCGAAAACCAACCCGACACACACACACACACTTAAAATAAAGGGGGATAATAATTTTCAAAAAAATATATATACATATATATAAATACATATACAGCGGTGATCAAAGCGCTCAGCCTCAGCGGCACTTTTAAATTTATATTTTTATTAATTTTCAAATTTATAATTTTGCACCCAACGGGCGACGCCTTTCGCCATGCGGCTCGAGCCGTGGGTGTTTGATTAATTTTTGTGGCCAAACTAATTTCCATTAATTTGAACTCAAATTGAAGAAGTGGAAATAAGCAAATAGAGGCTGCCACGCCTCACCTTTCGATTGACGAAATGCAGCTAAGCTGATTGCATTGGCTATTAGCGGAAATCCATGAGCGAAGCCCCCTTGACTGACAATTGTCGACAGGCCAGAAGGCGGAAGACTCGAACATGGATCCACCAAAAACAGACCCCCAAAATGTACAGCACAGTCAGCTGCCAAATGCTCTGTGTATATATATATGTATATATATGTGTGTGTGTGTGTGTGTGAGTATGCACTTGTGTTAGCTAGCTTCCATCGTTCAGTCAACGCCTTTGAATACGCAGATTCCAATGTTAATGTCATGAAAATTATTATATATCTGCATACATACATACACACGCACATATGTGTATATGTATTTACATATATTTTGTTGTTGCTGCCTCAAATTCAATTTCACCCTGCACATTTGTAGTGCTTTGTTGTTGCTGTTGCTCTCGTTTTGGCTGTTGACGTGGACGACGTTTTTGTTGCCTCTGCCTCTGCCTCTGCCTTTGCCTTGTTGCTGTTGCGTCTGCGTCTGCTCGCTGGGCTGCCAAATTATGGCGCACATGCCAAAACAGAAACGAGAAAACAAAAAGGCGATAGTAAGAGCTGAAGCAGAGCAACCTATGGCCCAGATAGGCATGGCAAGACAAGACGTATTCAGGCCCTCAGCGGCGAGTCTGAGTGGAGCAGCTGCACTTGGCTGAGATGTGCCATGCGGCGGCAGTAGACGCTGCTAATTAAGCTTAACATACTTTCCAGGGCACCTAGGGGCCGTATGCTGTATATGCGGTATGCACTGCTGCCACGCCCACATCCGTATGCAAACTTTGTGCATGCTTTATCTTGCTTCAGTTTGAAATTAATTAACTAGCATTTATTTTTATTTAATAAACAAAACTTTTAATTCAACAGAGAAACATTGCCGCATCCCGCATGCCGCATGCCGCATGCCGCATGCCGCATCCCGTTCGACTCGAATCTTTATGTTGCTCTTCTCCAATCCCCTCTCCCCGCGTGTCGATGCCTGCTGAAACTCATTTTGGTAACGGTGTTTGTGCTCACTCCAGCACCGCCCAGCCACGCCCCGCCCCGCCCGTATGCCAGGTATTACACCTGAGCTCTCAGCTCAACTAAATTGGTTTTGTGTTTCTTTGCAAACTGCTGGGAAAGCTTCATTCATTAAATTTCACTCTCTGCAATTTGAATTCACAAATTTTCAGCCTATCTATGCGAATTTCCATCCTCAAAGCAGTTGCTACAAAATATTATTTCTGTCAATAAAATTTCTGTTATTTCTAGAAAAAATTCTCTAGTTGTTGTTTTCGATGCTTCAAGCACATTCATGAAATTTTTGTAAACATCTTAAAGCGGAATTTTAGTAAATTTATAGCAATTTATCTGATTTTCTATGATTAGAAGTTCTTTGAGTTCGTCATTGAATCAAAAGCGGCTTGTTTAATATTTTATTATTTATTCATATATTGATATTTCAAATTTTGCAAGATATCTTCAATAAGAAACTGTTCAATTTAAGCCAGTTTAGCATTTCTACATGAGAGAGCACTTCTACATATATCAAACGAATCCACATAATTTTCGTTCACCCCTCCTCCTGCTGGGCATTAAGAGCTTAGCAAATATAAAATGAAAAGAAATATAGAAAAAATTGAAAAAAAATACCGAACAAACATTGATGTGTCACAGTAAATTTGCCGGCGGCAGAACTTTTGTTGTATTTTCTCTTTTTAAACACACAAATTGCGGCGCGAATAATATCAATTTATTTTTATTGTTATTTCATACATGTCAATTGATGAGGGAGAGGGAACACCATCAACGGCAGCCGTCTGCTAGATGCAATGGCACACTTGAACTTTAAATCGATTCCCAGTTCCAATTCCAATTTACGCACGGAGTCTGCAAATAAATCACCCGACTAAAGGCGCTTACAGACAGACTGTGCCATATCTTCTTCCATGCTATATATATATATATATATGCTAGATATATATACATCTCTTTCTGTATACATATATATCGAGATATGATTGTATTTAATTTTCGCTTTCTCGACTGCAAGCCCAGCGCACAGCGGATAGCGAGAGACAGAGACAGGCACACACAAAAGCCAGCCAGAGGATCCAGTGAGCTTTTCAATTTCAACAGCATAGATAAAGATGCCGGGCTGCCAACTGTAAACGATTAGGGCCAGAGATTTGGGCGGCACGTAAGTGGTGCGAGCGAGGGGCGGGCGGATTGAAAGTGGAGCGTATGCCTAAGGCGTTCAGATTTTATTGGCCGTAAAGTAGACGGCCATGAAATCGGAGTAGCAGTCGAAAGCCAGACGCTGAGACGCTGAGACGCTGGGCCCCAGCCAGAACCAGCACCAGCAGCGGAAGCGTCCATTTAAAAGCCATTGTACTGGCACACACAATGAAAGCGAAAACTTGGCTAAACAGATGACAAAAAATACGCGGCGATTGATGCTATTGTGGTGCACAGTGTGAAGGATAAGCCGCACAAAACAAATGTCAAAGTCAACACCCAAACCACAATGAGAATGAGATAGACAGAGAGAGAGAGAGGGAGAGAGAGAGCAAAGTATTAGATAGAGAGAATGAGAGGTATACATAGGCAGACACTTAAGCTGCTGTCTGAAAAACACGACAAAATAAGCAAAAAAAAGCAATAAAGGAAGAGCACGTATTGAATACAATCATGTGTGTGTGTGTGTGCCTAGACATAGTTAGAAAGGATGTACAGTTCGATTATTATGGTCTGCTGAGTTCTGGACAGATATTATCCCCCAATATACATACGATTTAAATATACATACATAAATATAAAAAAAAAATAAAATAAACAAATAAAATAAATAAATAAAACATAAAAAAAAAAATAAAATAATGACAATAATGCAAAAACAAAAATTTTTACAATTAAAAAAAAAATATATATATATATAAAATAATTATAAAAAATATTTTAAATTAAAGTCTAATTAAATCAGCATTACAATTAAATCAATATATATTTACAAAATATAATAAAATCTAAAATATGGAAAATAATTTAATTTTATTTTATAATACTTTTAAATTTCAATTGAATTTTAGCTTATGTTCAGACTAGATTCATATGTCTTTTATATATATTCAGCTGTTGCTCTTTACTCCTTAGTAATACAGATTCATTGTCGAGTCCTTACTTTGTCTTTATTATTAAATTTATATTTCTATGAACTAACTTTTCTACGAATACCCTGATTTCTTCAAGTATTTCCCTTACGTTTGTTCAGCCCCTATTCCCATTATATTTCCCTCGAAATGCTCACCTGTCACCTGCTTGCCTCCAGATCAGCTGTCACATGTATCTAACGCTTTTAAGGGTATACAAAGTCTGCCTAAGATTTCTATTGCTGTTGCTGCTGCTGTTGTTGTTGCTGCTCTTGACATTGGGCTAGCCTCAGCTTCGTTGCTGGGCAACTGCTTGAGATTGTAATGAACGTCAAGTAGCGCAACGATTAATGAAAATTGCTTAATCAGCATTATTATCTTCTCGCTGGTATTAAATTATTTAGAGAAACCCGAAGTGTACGAGCTTAGGGGCAATGTTGTCCCTGCTGTTGTTGATTTTGTTGTTGCTGTTGCTGTTGTTGTTGTGGCCTTTGTAGTATTTACTGCTGCCAAGTCCAACAAAGTCGCCGTTTGTTGGCATTGTTCTTCTTCCTCGCTGACAAAAGAGTTGATCGTCCCAAGTGATGGGCACACAATACACCCACGCACACACACACACACACACACACACACAGATATACTGCTAATTGATTAGCGCAGACTGCGCGGCATCAGGGGAGCTCTTATGGCTGTGTGTGTGTGCGTGTGTGTGTCTGGCAATCAGTGAAGTAAAATGAAAGTGCAAACAGTGACAG